TAATTATTAATTAATTTTAAATTAAATATATATCTTATATTGAAACATATATATGTAATTTTCACAAGTATAGAGCCTCTTCATCTTCCTTCTTTTTTCTTTCTTTTTTACTGATTGATGAACAAATCGATTTCAGGTGGAACATTTGATTTAATTTTTTTTTTTATAAACATTTGATTTCAATTTTGAATAGTGTAAATTTTTTTTAAAATGATTTTGAAATTGAAACACATGAAATATCTCCTTTTTTATAACTTAGAAAGAAAAATTACATTAATTAAACGTGAGTTTACTTATTTTTGGATATTGGTAGGCAAATGAATAGGACTAATGAATGGGTGAACGAACACCCTTCATTTTTAAAATAAGGGTTTTTTTAAGATGTGCTAAATGTAAATTATCAGAGATAATTTTATTTTTAACATTAATAACACATATTTAATATATAATTATTAAAATTAAAGTACTAATAAATATATAATTAATATATTTTTAATCTTTCCTGAAAATATAGAATAGAAAATTCTTTTTTCAAAAAAAAAAAAAAGAAAAGAAGCAGAGATATTATCACCGTGCAATGTATGCACAAACAAATGAATTCTTTTCAAAAAGCCCCACAACTTAAAATTGACACATACCAAACTTTCGATCTCAAATCATCAATGTGGTTTTTACCTTGTTGTTTGTCCATGCAAATCACATCATCCTCAACCCACTGCAATAAAGTGTGTATTTTCATGTTCATGGATTGAAAATTGCCGTCATCAACAGAGGGCGGGTGGGGCACCGGCCACCATGAACCGACCAGTTCATTCTTAAAAATTTAGGACAACAAGGATCAGAGAAAATGAAAGGTCGGATGTGGGTTCCACTCGTTGCTTCAGTTACAAAGTACATTATTGCTTGGATTTCGACTTTAATTATTAGCACATATCTATAATAATATAATTAATGTCACCATCAATTGTAATTAATTACTTTGTATATATATATACGTGGTACTGTGGTAGTAGTAGTAAAGTTTGCAGCTGCTCAATCAATTTTCGGCAGCATCATGTCAGCGGGCACGTTTAAAATTAAAAACATGACATATTTGCTGGGGCTAGGGAATATATTCGAACATTGATTGTACCTCTTGCTTTCTTTTCTAATTTCTACCAAAAAAAAAAAGTCTAAGCCCAAGTTTTTTATTAGCTTTAAAAAAAAAGGCTTAAGCCCAGAAAGTCTTTGGGCCAGATATATGACAGGAACAGAAGACTCCATACTGCCCCATTCTGACATGGAGTACCCCTTCTGGTTTCTTCTTTGGGCCATTTTCCAATCAATCAATTAGACTGTTCTTATCTTCATACTTAGACATCGCCTTTATACTAAACTGTGTAAAAGGTGAAGGTGAATTTTGAGGTGATTCTTAAAACATACAGGTCTGGGACTACAATATAATTGAGACATCAGAAGAAAGGTCCTATAATTCAGACTTGGATGAACTGATTGGTACAGTTCAACAGAATATCACTGTATGTTGCTGAAATATGTTTAGTCCTTACTCCTTGGCCTTTCTGTTGCACTTCATCCTTTCTATTGATCATTGCTTTGCTTCATTTCTTAGATGTTGTGAAAACAGACTGAATGGGCTAATATGCATCTGGAGGTATCAAAGCAGGCATGTGATTGAGCATATAAAGGTGTTAACTAGTGTTAATTAAGGATCAATGCTGGAAGGTAGCTTGACAAACTTCTTTTAATAGCAATGGTGCTTGTGCAATCTTTGATTCATCAAAAGAGGAGAAAGGATAATGAACTGCTTCTCCCATGTGATTATTTTCTCTCACGTTTAGCAATAATCTACTGGTGGTTAGCTCAAGGAGGAGTCAGATTGGCCGCCACTCTCAAGCAGATTTTCAGATGAGAAAGTACATGAGAGACTAGGAAGATATGTATGTTATATAACTGAAATGGACTTCAAATGTCCTTCATATGAGAATCAACACTAAGGAAATAAAATTGCAGTGAAATTTATGAGACAGAGAGTAATACCATGTCATGTTTAATGTAAGATATTAAATGAAATCATCCTTCACTTTTGGCAGTTGGGGAACCTAACGGAACAGACGTAGTTTACCTCACATGTCATGCTACATTTGTAGAATGTAGATAACTTATCTCTGAATCATATATAAGTTATGTCTCTTCAAACAAATATGCTTAGCTTGAATGCATACTAGGATGCTTTTCCTTATTGTGGTTTCTTCACTATCAGAACAGGGCACTTGGCATATTTAAAGCAATAATTGCTCACACTCCACGCAACAGCTCTGCAAGAACAAATTAAGATCAGTTCCCATGACTTATGATTTACATATTGGAGCAGATGTTGATGGTCCTACATCATATCGTGTATTTGTGTGACTTATGAATCCATTGTCAGTACACCCTTTAATGTCATTCTTATGGGAATTTGTACTAAGAAAACAAGGCAGTTTAGTTTTATGTCAAGTATAGATGGTACGGTATTGTGGGTGTTAGATTATAGTAACAAAATCTAATGAAACAGAAAACAGTTGAAGTAAAAAGGGAAAAAGAAATCCCATCAAGCGTCATAGGTTTCAAATTAAGTTGTGCCATAAACATAAAATTTAGTGATTGCATGTTATCCCATGCTTAAGTTTCTTATACACATATTTGTTGATGTTAGACAGACAAAATGAACTTCTACATGGTTCTGCTGGATAATTGAGATGTTTGTTTATGCATAGAAGGAAACTAACCTTTTGATTCTTCCTAACTCATGCTCACCTACAACGAGCAGATTGACATTGAGCTTTTCAGCCACACTACATATTGTCACTTTAGGATCTCCAATCTCTGTAACCATTTCTGCAACCACCTGTTACGACAAAGATATGAAAAAACATTGAACATTACTGCCTTCTATTTAATCAGAGAGAAGCCTGAGACAATATTGAATTTTAGTTGATCAAATAAAAGTGAAAGGCCATTTGAGTCCTAAATACCTAACACTGTATAATACCATAGAAAGAAACACAAAGTTTTTATTATTTTGTTTAGCTGGAAGAAATTTGAGCTTACCCCTCTGCTGGCACAGATATCCTTAGCTTTCTCCAAGAAAGCCAATGTGAGCTTCTGGTGATGATTTTTAACAGAGTTAACTAGCTCAGCTGTCATGAAAAATATAGAGAATTTGTCAACAAAGTATCAAGATCTCTCACTCAAAAACTTAACAGACAAAATATCACCCCCACCAAAAAAAAAAAAAAAAAAAAAAAACCAAAACAAAATAATAATAAATCAAAGAAATAGCCAAAAAAAGAAAAAAGAGAAAATAAAAATCCCAATCCCATCTGTCCCTGCAAACTTTCTGTTTGAAGAAACTACTCAATCAACCAATCAAAACCTAAATAAACCTCAATGTTACTTTAAACAAATATAAACACGAGAGGGGGAGAAAAGACATAATTACTGGTTGAGAAAGGACAATATATGCGAGCATTGCTGAGAGACGCTTGGAAAGTGTAATTGTCTGAGGTAGCAGGCTGTGCCATGAAAATGATGAGCGGAGACTTGAGTGAGTCCTTGAGATTGTCAAGAACCCACATGAGTGCATGGTAACTGTGTTCACTCTCATCAATTGCCACCATCACTTTCTTCTCATCCTTTCTTTCTCCTGCTGTGTCCGTCATTTTCAGGGTTTTAGGCTAAAACACAAAGCAACTGTGTAGGGTAGTGTTTTATATGGTTTTGAGAGATACAAGGAAAGTGTTTTGAGTATATAATCCTCTTAATAGAATTCTGGGGGCTGAAACTACTGCTTTGTGAAAAAGTAGCTAGGGAAGAATCGGATTTTCTGAATCTCAACTGTCAGTCAACTGTAAAGTGGACTCTACACATGTTCTTCCCTATTTTCTTGCACCTACTGATAGTTGAAATTAAAATATCTAATGTCCAAACGGATAGGCATGATCTTTCTTACTTGGTGCACCAAAAATAATTTTTGTTTGGTGGCCCCTGCTCATGATATATTATTTCATAGTTATTTTTTAAAAAAATAAGGTAAAATAAAATTTGAGAGTGTTCTGAGGTAATGGTTGGTGAGATTTGGAATTTTAAAATTGGATTTAGATTAAGAACATAATTGGAACAATAACAATAAAAATGAGTAAATGTTAGTTCTCGGTAGCTGTTGAATGTTAGGTTGGCTTTTGGGTCAACAAAGGCAGCGGTTGGAAAAGCTCATGCCTTCATTTTCACAAGCATATTTCAGAAGTACATAAGAGAAACAGCCATTAATCTGGAATACATTACTAGTTTCATTTACAAACATATAAAGCAGCTTCAATCAAAGTTGCAATATTGTCAACCATATCATACAATATCCAAATAGAGATACTGATTTTGCCCTTCTAGACTAGTTTTTCACAACAAGAACGGGGCACTTGGCGTGATCTAAGCAATAGTCGCCTAAACTTCCCTGGAAGACCCTGCATCCCAAGCATCTATTTCGGTGTTACACAATAAACATTCAAAGAGTGAAATAGGCCATACCAAAGAAACCTTTCATGTGAGTGAAATTTTCATAAAAACTTGATCTCCTTTGTCAACACACATGTAATGAATCAGTGGTGTCATATAAAGAAGAAAATGTTAAAGAATCATTGGCAAAAATACATGTAGCGAATCAGATTATGAATTCAAGAAGGGGAACTGACCTTCTGAGAATTCCATTGTCATTGTCACCTATTACAAGCAGATTGATTTTGTGCCTTTGAACTGCATTGCAGATTGTCTCCTTAGGATCCCCAGTCTCTGTCACTGTCTCTACATATACCTGCAACCAAAAACTATGACTAAAGTACTGCTCAAAGTATGTACAAGTGACAAAAAATGTATGCATTTCATTGCCAAAAAAGAAAAAGGAAAGAAAAAGAAAAACGAAGAAGACGTGCCAAAATCCAAGTTCAATGTTCAATGTAAATAGATTGATACAGAAGGGAGAACTTGATCTGGAAACTATGTGTAGGGTCATACCCCTTTGCTTGCACATATGCCCTTAGCTTTCTCTAGGAGACCAAGTGAAACCTTTTTATTTTGTTCTATAACTGAGTTACAGGCTGTCAGAAAAATCATTGAAGTTAGTGAATATTTCATTAGCCTAATAGCTTCATATAAGTTATCAATACTTCCAATAAAACATCGATGGTTTCAATTCCTCTTATAAAAATGATTGTTTCAACAAGGGGGATCAGAGAAAACTTAACTGGCTGAGAATGGACAGTAAATGCGGGCAAAACCAAGCTGTGATCCACAAATGCTGTTACATTTTGGAGATGCCTGTGCTGCAAAGATAACAAGCTGCAAGCTTTTGAGTGATTCATTGAGATTGTTGAGCACCCACATCAGAGCATGGTAACTCCCCTCACTTTCATCTATGGCCACCATCACCTTTTTCTTAAGCCCTTCCTTTTGCTTTTCATCTCCCATTGTTCTGCGTAGTTGAATGCTTGATCAGACTTCACCAGAGGCTTCAAGCCTCTCCTAATTATATCAAATGGAGGTTCAGAAAGTCTAAGAAGGCACAGGGGGGTTGACAATTATTGAGAAAGCTCAACCACTACCTTTCCCTTACTGGAAGTTTTCCATAGTGTAGTCGTTGACAATAAATTGCGTGTTTTAAGTAGCCGTAGCCTATAATCTATTGAAGTTGCATTTATAGAAGGCAGATAGCTACTTGCATTAAATCCTCCCCTTTCTGCTTTGCTCCAACGAGTTGAGTAAGCCAAAGGTCAATACATGTGAATTAGTAAGAGCAACCATTTTTGCAATAGCTTCTTGGGTGGGTTCTTCTTAATAAAATCGAGCCTGCTGCTAAGTTACGGTAAGCCTACCAAACCTATTATCTAGGTCAAACTCAGAAACAATTAACAAGATTGCATATTAACATGCATGAAAAAGGGACAGGATGCCTCAGATACTGTAGGACCATCCCATTTGCTTTGGCGGTGGTTACCTTCCTATTATATGATTTAACTGATCAATTCTAGCCGGTTGAGTTTGATATCCTTCTTCTCTGAAGTAAACTGTTTCTATTCTTTAATGGTAGATTTTGCTCTTGCTTTCGATGCAAGACAAAAAGATAATTCTGCCTTGCAAGGCAACTTGTTCCTTCTTCATCACAGAGTAGCTCAGAGTAGTATTTTACGGTTGAGTCCAAATTCTTATTATAAGGAGCTTGCACGTATTCATATGTGAAAGTATTGGGGATAATTTTATGTGCAGTCTCTCACACTTTGTATGGAGCCAGCAGATTGTTATGCCGTATGGATTTGTATTGGATTATGCCTTTCTTCCTTCACAAGCATGCGGTTACAAAATTTTCTGAAGTCAATGATGTTTAAATATGATTTAGTCAGTCAGGAATGCATATGCCTTCTCAAGGA